TTTAATTTAATGCAGGCCTCTGTTTGCATAATATTATATCAATCATGAATCTTTCTTAAGTATCAACACTTTCTCGAACTTTTTATTTAATGAAGCCACAGGACTCTCTCAATTACTCATACTCCTTAGAATGGCAGCCAGACACAGTGGATTTTATTACACTTCCGTGTTCAGATAAAGGGGTTCGTTAAGGAATTGATTTAGGAGAAAAACCACTTCGTTTTTTTTCTGGTGAGAGAGACGCCCTGGGACGGATTTGCTGAACTCGCTCAGAGTTGGTGGCTGTTGGGAAAGCACGCTCCGCAACCGCGGAGTTCGACTCCCTCTCGTTCAGGGTCCCAGAGGGACCCAAACGTGTAGCTGGCCGAGGTGCAACAGCATGGGAAGCGTGGTTGTAGGTAGAGACAGCAGTGCGAATGACGAAACTTAACCATGAATATAATAAATTTAAGATGGGAACGAAAAATGAAAGGCGTACAGTGAGTGCCCTTGAATGGGGAGAACCCCAGCAGTGCTGTCAGCTGGCGGCCCCGCCCTCCTGTCCCCCTGCCCCCCCCCCCCCCGCACCTACTATATTTTGCCGTGTATAACGCGCACCCATGTTTTTTGTGTACATTATACACGGGATTATTACACCCATGGTATGTAATCATTCTACCCATGTATAATGAGCATCCTTATTTTTCCTTTTAAAAATTTGGGCAAAAAAAGAGCTCTGGCTGGCGTAGCTCAGTGGATTGAGCGTGGGCTGGGAACCAAAGTGTCCCAGGTTCAATTCCCAGCCAGGGTACATGCCTGGGTTGCAGGCCATAACCCCCAGCACCCACACATTGATGTCTCTCTCTCTCTCTCTCTCTCTCTCTCTCCCCCTCCCTTCCCTCTCTAAATAAATAAATAAATAAATAAATAAAATCTTTAAAAAAAATTTGGGCAAAAAAGTACGCATTATACACGGCAAAATATGGCACTCACGCATTTCAGCCCCACAGCTGGCTCTGGCCAGAGGGTGTGGGAGGGCCCACAGCTGTCTTCGGGGCCCACTGTGTCCCAGGATTACTTCTGCCAAGTGCAGAAGGGGGTGACAGATGTTTGTTGATGTCATTATGAGCTCACAGGGAAATATTTCTGAGACTCATCTCAGAGCAATGTGTGGCTGGGATTTCCAACAGTGAAGACTTGTGTGCTGGGCGGTCCCTGAAACTGGTGGACCAACCAGGGTGGAGGGGCAGCCGAAGGGAGCTGGAGCAGAGGAGAATGAGGCCCTCAGCTCCAGGCGGGAGTGGCTCGATGCCTTAGTCACTTCCGGTGGAGCGGTGTTACTCACACTGAACCCTTCTGAGTAACCTCGGTCCTCAGTTGCACCCTGGCTGTGACACCTCAGCCTGGGAAAACTGAGGGGAAAGGAAGGGATCGTTCCCCAGCCCGCCAGCCACCAACCAAGCTCTCTCGGCCTCTGAGAGTTTGCAGGGCAGCTCTCTGATTCCTGGTTCACAACCCTGTGCCCTCTTCCCCCTGGCCCAGCTCCTCTTTGCCAGAAGTCTGGGAGGCCCCTGAGCTGAGGTCCCCACCTCCACCATTTGCTCCCCTGAGTTTTCATTTCTACTCTTTTACCTCTTCATTTTCTTTCCCCCTTTCCTTCTGCCTTTGCCTGAGGCCACGGCACAGCCCTGTGGCCATCACTCAGCCCACTGCAGCCCTCTGAGTAAAGATGCGGTCAGCCCCTCCCTCTCTGTCTCCTAGAATCCTTTTTGTAAAGTGGTGATGACTGTAAATGTAAGCTCTATAGACACTGCACCCCAGTGGAGGGAGACTTTTTTACAGCGAGGATGCAGGACATTGTAATAGTCCCTGTTCGCTGCAGTGGTGCCAGGGAACTGTCCCCAGACTTGCTGGCTTACTACGGTGTTCATTTTTCTCATGGGCTGGCTTCAGAGATGCTATTGCATTGGCCGAAAAGTCCGTTTAGGTTTTTTTCTGTAAAATAAAAGACACGTTTTTCATTTTCACCAATAACTTTATTGATTTGGATATTTTAAGTATGCTGGCTGTCTCCCACTATTGGCTTCTCTTGGGTAGAGATCAGAGGTGCTGCTAAACGTCTTCCAATACATAAGACAGCCCCACAGCAAAGAATTATTTGGCCAAAAGGTCAGTAGTTCCAAGAAATTCTGCAAACCACTTTTGACACATTCAATCAGTCACAGCACCTTCTCCATACACTGCACACATTTTTTTTTGCATTTCAAAAAATTTTTTTTTGCATTTTGCATGGAGTTCTTATGTTTCCTGACATAATAAAGGGTAATACGCCAAAAATGTTGCATATTTTTGGTCATCTTCAGTGTTAAAATGGTTACACAAAAATTCACCAGTTTTGGTAAGTTTTTTTTTTTTTATAAATGCACACTGATATGACAGCTGTCACAATGCAATCTAACAAAATTGTTTCAGATGCAGTTAAAGTCAGCTAAGTACGCTACTAGAGCCATCTTACGGAAAAAAACCAAACTAACTTTTTGGCCAACCCAATACTTCAGACTGTGGGTCCTGACACTTGGCTCCAGGCTTGGGGTTGAGTTCAGGCCAGGTCCATGTGTTACATTTTGGGGCAGCAGCGTCACGGTAGTACCAGGAGGAAAAGTACAAGCACGGGAAGCCTCTTCCACCAGCATTCCCTTGGCCAAATCAAAGCACATGGCCGAGCCCAAACTTCAGTGGGAAGAAAGCACCCCATCCCTTCTAGTGCACTGTCGCACGATTACGTGAAGGGGGAAGGAGGGAAGGCCTGAGAGCATTCGCCCAGTGTGCCACGCAGGTCCTGTTAGGTGTGGCTGGAGAGCCTCGCTCCCATGCACGTGGCGGGAGCACTGTGAGAGGGGATTGCAGGAAACACCGGGAGCTCTGAGGAGTCCTGGTTGGAAGGAGCACTGAGTATAAACGACACAGAAATGTTTCACTGTCCCCCTGTCCCATCTGGAACACAGTGCTTCATGTCCACTGCAGCTGGGGGAGGAGCAGGTGGCCTACCACTTCCCTCAGGTCCCTGGACCCAGACCTCCAGCCCCCCTGGCAGCCTTCTGCCCCCTGGAGCAGTTTCTACCGAGCATCCCTTTCAGGTTTCAAAGATATTTTAAAGGTTACTGTCTGAAGTGTTTGGCCAAGAAAACGCCAAAGAATTTGAGACAACTGTTAGCAATTTTTAGTGCCAGTGATGAGAAGAAAGTTTGTGGCTCATCCTCCAATAATTGGGAGGGGGGTTTGTGTGGGGAGCTGGAGCCAGCAAGCTGCTGCGTATCGTGGCAGCCACGCTCAGAAGACTTGGGAGAGACAAAGATGGTTTTGACCCAACAACGAAACAATTTAACGTCTCAGACTGTGTGACCATGATGGGGAAGGTTGGTCTCTCCTTTAGAGAGCCATGATTAAAATGCCGTATGGGTATTTGGAGAACATTCCTAATCTGCTTTCCTTTAACTGAGAAACCCATGTCGTTTGGAGAAATAAGGAAGCGTGTTCCTTTGGCTAAATATGTGAAAGGGAATGAGGAAATGAATATTTATTGGATGGCTAGGTATTTTCACATCTGTTCCCATGTGGAAAGGGAGAAAAATTATTTGTCAGTCTGAACGCTGTCCCTTTAAGAGGAGTGTGTGAGAGCCGTTGTAGAGATGCCACAAGTATTGGTCCAGGTAACTCTCCCAAAGCAACTATTCCATCTTCTCTTCTCCCAGGGGCATGAGCCGTTTTCACTGTTCCCTTGTTCCAGTCACCCCTGGCTGCCTCCTAGGACTTCACTGTCCCCTCATTGCCATCAGAGTTCTTTCTGGCTTTGTCCCCAACTCACGGCTTGCCTTTAAAGCTTCTCTTCTTACCAGAAGCTAGTTTCCCACCTTCTGTTAGTCCCTGGCTTCCTCTGCCCAGCACTGGAAGGCCACTGCGTCTCACCCCCGTCCAAACCCAGCACACGTCACGTGTCCCGTCGGGACAGTTGATCACAGGTGAAGCTTTTGAGTCCGGTCCAACCACCTCTTCTTTCCTAATTTAACCAGTGTTGATGACAGAGGTGGATTATTATTGTGATTATTACTGCCATTATTATTGCTTGTAGCCTCAGTACCCACGGCTGTGGGAGTCCTCAAATGTCTGAAGGTGAGAAGCCACCTGAGGGAGTGGGGAGAAGTGTCCCTGAGAAGGCCCACTTGAACTGGGTCCCCATGAACGAGTAGGAGGTCACCAGCCTCCAAAGCCAGGGAAGAGTGTTTACAAAGTCCACACCGGAGTCAAAGGAAGAAGATGGCATTTGGTAGGCTTTCCTCTCCTAGTGGAGAAAGTGTTCCCCTTTCTGCACTGTGACAGTGGGGTTTGACCTGCAGCCTGACGAACACGGGGGAAGGAAGACCTCTCCAAGTGGCAGACATCTGTCAGCTGGGTGCGAGCTGCACTGGGGCGTCGTGCTGGGTTATCACAGCGCTGGGAATACAGAGAGTGATCCAACCACGTCCCTTCCTCGGCGAGTTCATCCTGTAGTTACACCGACTGATGTGCTCCAACCTCATTACCTCAAGCACCCACACAAATGCTCTTATCAAGGGGTTCAGCTTTCATAGCAATTAACCGACCAGAGACTGAGCACCACAGGAGTTGGTGGGATGGGTGGGAACAGACACTAGTGTCAAGTGGAGAACCATTTGTATGGGGGTTAATTCTACAAGTGGGCCGTTCATGAATCATTTTCTCACTTTATTTCCATTGTAACCCTGCCACCCGAGGGAATGTGTGTTGTGAATGCGAGGATCACAGGGCTTCCCCATAGTTCTTCTAAATTATGGCAGTTTCCAAAATGCATTCAGAGGGCTCCCGGCTCGGTGTGGCCTGTTGGGGTGGACGTGAATGTGACTTTAGCAGGCTCCCCAGTGGGGAGGGGGGAGCTGAGGCTCACCCGCAGCCCTGCCCCCGGGCTTGATGTGCACTGGCGCTCTGACCGGCCCCTTCCTCCCCAGGTATGGAGAGTGCAATCACGCTGTGGCAGTTCCTGTTGCAGTTGCTGCTGGACCAGAAACATGAGCATCTGATCTGCTGGACCTCCAACGATGGTGAATTCAAGCTCCTCAAAGCAGAAGAAGTGGCCAAACTGTGGGGACTCCGAAAAAACAAAACAAACATGAACTACGATAAGCTGAGCAGAGCCCTGCGATACTATTATGACAAGGTAAACCTTTGCCTTACCTGGGGCTGTCTGGGAGGTGGAGCGCCCCCTCCGTATCTCCTTGACGAAAGCAGACAACTGGGTGCTGTGAGCAAGTTGGAAAATCAAATAGAGGCAATTTATGTGGTTTTGGTGGTGGGTTTGTTTTTCTTTTGTTTGTTTGTTTTTGAGAAAAACTGTCAGATTTTTTTTTTCTGGAAGCCTTTTGGGTGTTGCTGCGAGTCAGATTTTATTCCCTCTGCATTTTCATCTGTGGTAGCCGTGCAACTTTGCTAGCAACAGAACTTAGATGTAAGGAGGTTCTGGGGTTTCCCTCGTGGGTAGTTGCTGGGGTGACAGAGGGAATGGTAGAATCTAGAAAGTCTGTTTATCTCATCTGGGTTGTAGTTCACGCACGTGGGCCTTTCCCAGTGGGGAATGGCGGCGTGGGCAAGTCACGCCACAACTCAGTGCCTCTGTGTCCTCATTTGTAAGACGGGACCCTGACAGTTCTGGCTCGGGATGGCTGCGAACGAAGACTGAGTGCTGTTACGTGGTCAGTACGTAAAACAGTGCTGGGCACGTGGGGTTTCCAGCTTCGTGGGAAACTTCCCTAATCAAGAGAAAAACGATTTTCCTTTTCAAGCCACAGAGATAAGTCCGAGTGCTTTTGTTAAGTGATAACACAGCATCGTTGCCAAAAAGCCGGAACAGCTGGGGTGGGTTTTCATGCGTTTCAGGAAAGGCCGTTCCTGTGCCTGCTTGGGCGAAATTACTGCTATTCAGGGACACGCACTGCAGGCCTGTGGCTGTCGGTGTTTCTGTGTGGCTTCGTTGTTGCTAAATGTTTAGCCTCATAGATGTAAAGAATTAGAGTCCTGATAAAGCTTAGCCTCTGTTCTGGTTTTACTGTTCACATCGAAAGGTGAACTAGAAACTGATTTAAATATCAGTTCCTGATGTATATTTAGCGCCTCCCTTCTGCCAGCCTCTTTGGAATTCAAGACAGAAGGATTACACATTTCAGGAAGTGGAGTCATCATTAATTATAAAGTGTTCTTTCACGTGATCGTAATTGCATATGATTATGTCATGGAAATGTTAAAGGTGCGTCCCTTTAATGTGGCAATTACTTAATCCTGGCTCAGTGTAGAGTCCTACGAAGATGTGGAAGCCCTCTTTGAAAATGGCCCTGTCTGAAAGCCCGGCAGATGGTTTGTTGTTTGGCATTTTCACCCAGGTTCTAAGTTGCACAATGGGAATTGGGAGCCTCTGAAGGAAAACAGTCATCTTGTCTGCTGGCAGAGTGCCTGAAAGCCTGGCTGTGAGACTGAAAAAAACAAAACAAAACCCATTGTTTTAAGTTAAGGTGTCAAAGAAAAGGAGCCCTGCTGCCCCAGTGGCTGTGACTCGGTTTCACCTCTCCTAGCAGCCGGGGCGTGGGGGCTGAGGATAGTGTGTTGTCGGCCAGACGGGAGCAGGACTGGAGATCCTGGGCCGGAAATGACAGGAAGAAACTGGCAGAGCCACTGCTGTGCAGACCACACCTGGCCTGCTGTGAGCACATTTAAAGGGACAGCAATTTCAAATTCCACCACCCAGCACGTTTTGGTATATTGTGTCTAAGATGCTGTGCTGAGGGCTTCCTCTCCACTCCCCCTTGTCCCTTAAACTACGATAGCCCCTGACACAGCCCTGCCGGCATGGCCTCCCTTCACACAGGAGGATGCGGCTTGGACACAAACCCTGCCCGAGCTCCTGCAGCCAGGAAGCCGCAGAGCCAGGGTGCCCACGCTCCAAGCCAAAAGGCCACACCCTGCCTCCCGGGCCTTTCCTGTCTTTTGCCTCTGAACACCTGAGCTCCAGGGAGGCCGTCAGGCAGTGCAGGGTGAGGTGTAACCTCAGACCTTTTCTGTTTGTTGTCGAGCACTCCAGCGCTGAAAAATCCCTTGTCCACTGGGTGTCAGGTTGAATTCAAGGCCTGGGGGGCCTGTGGCCGGTGTGTCCTGCTCCCTGAAATGGGCCCTTTTCTCCCCTGCTGGGGCTGAGCTGGAGGCCTGGCCCCATGACCTTTGAGCAGCCAGGTGGCACTCACGGCAGGAACACCTCTCGTCCTGTGTGTCTTGCAGGCTTGGCCACCAGGAGGAGGTGCCCTGTGTCCTTCCTCAGACACATGTACTCTGTGCACATGTGCGAGTACACAGTACACAAATGCGCAGACACACTGTACATGTATGTACACACAGCTGTGTTCATCTTTCTCAGGAGGTGTTGTCAAGAATGATCATTAGAGTCTTGCTATATAGTTCAAAGTGAAAAGAAGAGGGAGGAAGAAGAGGAGGATGAAGGAGAAGAGAGACTAGGGTGAGAGGGGTGGAGGGGGAGCAGGAGCAGGAGGGGAAATGGCCAGAGAAGGTGACAGAAGGTATCCTACATTGAACACTTTGGATGGATACTTCTTCCAGTGTTTCCAGGGCTGCTCTGTGTGTAAAATGAACCATACAGAAGTGCCGGTATCTGACCGTTTTTGACCCACAAAACCAGAGGGGGTCCTTGTGAATGTGAAGTCCCCGGACACATGGGCACCCCTTGGGGCGCCCTACTCCGCACCACTCACGTTTTCCAGTTACCAGTTACCCCGCACTCTGTGCCTGCCATTCACGCTCCTCTCTGCCCCTCCTCCTCCCCCTCCTTCTCCTCCCGCTCCCCCTCCCCCACTGACTCTCATCCTGATGCAAATTAGGTGACTCCCAACCTTGACAGCTGCGTTCTTTTTCCCTGTTGTTTTTTCTGTCATTCGCTCGCTAGCATCTCTTCGCTCTTGGCTGAAATTGTACATCCCTTGGGTTGTCCTAATAGGGAAGTTTTCCTGCCGCCGCGGACAAGCACGAGCATATCATTATTTTTATGTGTTATACGTTATATTTTTAGCTCATTCCAGAATGCTAGAAATGGGCAGAGAGAAGAAGTGGAGAATGTGTGCAGGAGGCATCGGAGAAGAATCAGAGAGCCTAATGGTGTCAGGTTGGGGCTGAGGCTCGTTAGTCATTGTTCCTCCAGAAATTGCCCCCTCCCTCGTCACAGGGAGGTGGTTCATGGCATGAACTCCGGACTAGAGTGTCTGGGTTTGAATCCAGCTCCAACCGTGGGCGCTTTGCCTAATCTCTCCGGGTCTTGCTGGGCCAAGTCCTATCTGGTAAATGGGTGTCATAGAGTCCCTACCACGGGGTCGCGCTGCGGATTAGCTGAGTTAACACATTCGCTGAGAACAGTGCCCCAGACACGAGGCTACACGGGATTAGCCAGAGTAATAACAAAGATGGTGCTTTCCCTATCGCCAATTTGAAGAGTTCAGACAGGTGCGGAGGAGCAAAGCAGGAGCTCTGTCCCGCCTTCCTGCACAAGCGCACACGGAGGTGATGGCTCTTGGCTCCTACGAGCCATCAGGAGCACTTGGCTGTGCTTGTTAGCGGCTGAAGAAGGATGGCCACAAATTCTTTACCCAGTTGCCTGTTTTTATGTAAATAGGGTATTCTGAAAATTCCACTACTGTGATGCTTTAACATTTAAATGACTCTCCCATTTAAAGGGCCCTCACCCCTCTGAATCAGAGCACTCACTTTTCTCTGTAGCCGGCCGCAGCAGGTCTCTGTCCTCCCTGAGTGGCCAGCATGGGCCCCGACCTGGTTAGAGCCTCATGGGCCCGTGGTCTCTGAGGCGAACGTCCCCTGTGGGAAAGTGGGCATCACGACAGCACCTTCCCTCGTCAGCTTGTGCGGGAGTAAATGCCACCGTGTGGACACGGCGCTTTGCACAGTGTCCAGCCCTCGGTAGCACACACTCAGTAGATGCCCCTTGTCTCTGCCATCGGTGTGTATGGAGCTTGCTGCACTGCACTCGTGCAGCTGTCCATGGAGCTGGCCGCCTGACAGAGCCGTCCTCGCCATGGCCTCCCGGCGACCCACTCCTGCCGCTCGGGTGCCTGGCGTGGGGGCTGGCGCACACCGTGGACCAGTGCAAGTGGGGAACACCACGAAGTGGACACTGCCCAAACACATGTTGCTGAGATCAGCGCTGACATTAAATAAGTGTTAAAATGAAAAACAAACACAACGTCACTGCCGTTTGATTGCTGGACAGTATTCATTTCCTCGGGCTGCTGTAACAGATGACTACAAAGCGTGCAGCTTACAGCAACAGAAACTCACTGTCTCACGGTTCTGGGGGCCAGACGGCCGAACCCCAGGTGTTGGCAGGGCCGCTCTCTGAGAATCTGGGCGGAGTCCTTCCTTGCCTCTTCCGAGCTCTGGGGTCCCACCTGGGCTGGTAGCTGCATCTCTCCAGTCTCCGTCTCTGTCCACATGTAGCGTTCTTCCTGTGTTTCCAAATTTCCCTCCTATAAGGACACCGGGTCTGTTGGGTTAGGAGCTCTCCTGTGGCCTCATCTTCAATGGGTTACATTGGCAAAGACCCTACTTCCCAAGAAGGTCGTGTTCATAGGTGCTGGGAGTGAGGACTTCGACATTTTTGGTGTGTGTGTTGGGGGGGGCATACTTCTACCCATCACATGCGCATATATTTCATATACTGCTGGGTTCTCATTTAGCTTTTTGAAATTACACACAGAGGGAGAGCCTTGGAGATGGGGGTTTGACCCAGCAAATCCTGGAGGAAAACCGCTCCCCACGACCGAGACAGCAACTAGATTCCACAGCAGACACGACCCTAGGTTCTGTGACAGGCACGTCCCCGTGTGCCTACCCTGTGCCAGGCACGTGCCGGGTCCCCAGGGAGGAACCACAGGTGATGACGACGAGATCTGTGTCGGAGGGATTCAGAGCCTCTGGGAATTCGGCACTTGACGACTCAGACGGGAAGAAGAGCTGACCCTGGCGGCTGCCATGCTGGATTAGCAATGGCCGAGACCTGGCGTTGGCCTCGGAGGCTCCTTACCCGTCTGTGCTTCTGGGGGTTGCTGCCCATTTCCCACGCACGGGGAAGGCTGGAGGGCGGGGGGCGTGCGG